CTCTCTCTCTCTCTCACACTCTCACACACACACACACTCTCTCTCTCTCTCTCTCACTCACACACACACACTCTCTCTCTCTCTCACTCACACACACACACACACACCCCGTCTGCCACAGCCAATTTCTGCTTTCAAATGGACCCATTTATTGAAGCGTGTGCCATAAGAACACAACTAAACAGAAAATTACTTCCTGTACTATGTATACTACGTCAGCGCTGGAGTATACGAACATGTGAAGCGCCGCCCGATGCCGTTCTGAGTGGGACACACATCCACACACGATACCCTGTCTAGGAGATTAAAGTATGAAGATCTACTCTCCGTCCCGCTTCAACCCTAGAGTTTTGCATTTGTACTAGCGTCGTCATCGTCGTCAACTACTTTGGCCTGGAAGCACTGATACCCATTGACTACCACAGAGAACTTCCACTGCATGTTACCAAGTTGACGTAAATGTACTCAAAATACCATTAGGAAAAAAGTAGTGAGTTCTAAACTTCCTTTATTAAAAAAATATAAATATGTACATAAATTCTATTTCAGCTATTAAAATGGGGTCACAAAGTAAACACCTGAAGCCTGTTTCATGGACTCCCTCTGTATGCCGTGACCACAGGAACCCTAAAGAACCGTGCGCCCGCTCGCACCCGTCACCACCGCGCACGCAGACGGACGGAGAGACGCGGATTGCTTTAGTAGCGAGAGAGAGCGGCGTCCGGCCGAGGGGATCTCCGACTGTCCAGCTGCTCTGGGACCAGCCGAGCAGCTCGAGTCCGCATCCACCGTCCCGCCAAATCAACACAAAACCACCCACGCAGCCGTCTGCTAAGAGCAAATGAAGAGAAAGAAAAACAGAGCGACAGAATTTCGCAAGCGATGGCGTCCAGGATTGGGCTCTCCGCCACATCAAACATCATCACTTCCAGTTCTGACAGTCGTTTACTGACATGACACACACCTTTGCTTCAAAGTGCAGAACTGCTACATTATTGGTTACAGACATCTATGTTCTATAAAAAACGCCTTTGGTACAATAAATTATCAAAAGGGAGAAACAAAAGTGGTGTAAAATTCACAGCATAATCGCGAAGCCAAATCAAAGAAGCGAAAGGGCCAAAGTAAAACACACATGCCGAGCACAACAGAGGAGCGGGAAGGGACACGGCCGTTGCTGATACTAGTCCTGCGGATCTCTAGTGAAGAAAGGCCTCGGACCACCGTTCTGTTCTGGCGTGTCGTGAATGAAGGGTGTTCGCACGTCAAAAATACATGAAAGCTTCGGAAACGTCCGGCTCGTCTTCGCTCAGTCCGTAACGATAAGGCCATATTAAAGAAGCGCTGCACTCTGGGAAAGCTCCGCTCGAATCACGTGAACCATCTGATAACCGGAGAACAGAAGCAAAGGTCAGAGTGTCAAGCCAGAGTTAATCCGGTCAGGAGCTGGCCACCGAGCTCTGCTGCACGCACACACCTGCCATGGGCGACTCCTCGCGCTCCAGGCCCGGCCGCAGGCCCATGTGAGTCTCAGCTATGTAGTGGCCCGGCCCAGAGTTCGAGGGGTGACCCGGCACGCCCGTCTCCTGCCGCGGGTTGGAGAAGGCACCCAGTCCCAAAGTCATGCTGCCGTTGTGGCCGAAGCCCAGGCGGCTCTGGTAGGCGTAGTGATGGTTCCCGGTGGAGGACGAGGACGTGGACGAGGACGAGGCGGAGGAAGACAGCGAGGTCATGGAGAGGTGGCCGTGGGTCACCTCCATGGAGTCCTGCGTGGAGGCGCTGTGAGAGGGCGAGTAGAGGCGGGGCCGGGGCCTGGCGGGTCCCGGGGCGTGCTGCTGCGGCGGGTGGTGGTGGTGGTGGTGATGATGATGGGGGTGCAGAGCCTTGGGCTGGTGTGGCGGCACGTGGAAGGTGGTCTCCTGGACGGGGTGCGTCTCTCCGGCCGCCTGCAGGAGTCCGTCTCCTCCCACCCAACCCAGCGCCGGAGCGAAGCCCTGTCTCGCCTGAGGAAGAGCACAGACACAGATCAAGCTCCCAGCTCAAACTAAATAGCACTAAACGACTCTTTCTGGTTGCTTTCGCACCAGGAGCAGTAACTCTGAAGCGGCCGACAGCGACATCTTTATTTATTTACTCATTTACTTTTTAAAGAGGTCATCGGATGCAAAATTCACTTTCACAACTTGTTTGAACTGAAATGTGTGTTGGCAGTGTGTGTACACTAGAGGTCGACCGATGAGGGTTTGAGTAAATGTTTATTGCAGAGCACACGATAGTAATAGTAGCCTAATTCATAGTAATAATACAGTCGCCGTGATTTTGCCAAGTAAGACATGTTCCTGGATCAACATTACGGTCCAAAAATATAGACTAAACCCGATCCCTACCCCTAAACCTAACCCTACCCATAATTTATTCCTAAAATCAGTGTGAAATGATAGCTGATTAACAAGGGTGTAGAAGCACCTAACGCTGAACGTAAGCCTAAAACAGGTATTTCCTGAAAAGTTATCCCTCAATTCTGATTGGTTGATTGGAATGTTGTTCCAGGAACATGTACTTGGTGAAATCACGCTCACTGTAATAATACACGGCTCAGAACTTAAGCACCTTCTCAAAACTGTTCTGAAGCATGCTTTTTGTTAATGTTTGCTGACAGACACCAGCGTTTCTCACAGACATGCAAATGCAGATTCATTCTGCTGCTGGGAAACGCTAGTGTCTGTCAGCAAACATTAACAAAAATATAGCGGTTTCCCCGGTAACGGCTGTAATCAAATGCTTTTTGACCGGGTAAAAAGAGTGTTGTTTTACACTACCATTGAGAAATTTTAACCAAAGTATGTTATAGACTTTTCATTAAGACCCTAAAGAATCATATCAGCTTGTGGAAGATGGGCATCCGATGACCCCTTTAACGCCATGCCAGCATCTAGGGCTGGACGATACGGCCAAAATTTATATCACGATATATTTCTTAATTTCGGTCGATACGATATAATTCCGATATCGATATGAACACTATTTATCTGAAATAGAAATATTGTGTAACATTATAAATGCCTTTATCATCACTTTTGATCAATTTTAAGCATCCTTGCTAAATAAATGTATTAATTTCTTTCCCAAAAAATTATACTGAATGCAATAGTGCATAATGTTACAAAAGCTTTTTATTTCAGATAAATGCTGATCTCTGGATCTTTCTATTCATCAAAGAATCCTGAAAAAAAATTTACTCAACTGTTTTAAATATTGATAATCAGCATGTTGGATATAATATTATTTATTACACTGATAATAAATCAGCATATTATACTGATTTCTGAAGATCATGTGACACTGAAGACTGGAGGAATGATGCTGAAAATACAGCTGCGCATCACAGAAATACATTACAGTTTAAAGTATATTAAAATATAAAACTGTAATGTTAAATTGCAAAAAAATTTATTTTCTGTATTTTTGATCAAATAAATGCAGCCTTGATGAGCACAAGAAACTTCTTTAAAAAAAAAAAAACTTTAAAAATCTTACTGATCCCAAACTTTTGAACGGCAGTGTGTATACATTATATACATATATCTACCTCATGAACAGTTAAATATTCTCCCATTGTGCAATAACCTTATACTATTTATCACCCTACAACTTTTTTTATTCTATTCATATTCTACAGTATTTTATCTATAGCACACCTGCATATATTTATCCTTTGTGTGTGTGTGCTTTATTGTTTTTTATAATTGTTTATTTATACATATTTATTTTATTCACTTATTTTTTTATTATCTGTGTGTTGTCTCTGTCTGGAAACTTGGACACTATAACAAATTCCTAGTATGTGCAAAAATACTTGTCCATAAAGCTCTTTCTGACTTCTGATATGCGTGTGTGTAATAGCTATACAGTAGGCCTGTGTATATGAAAATATGAAAATGCATTTTTCAATTAAAGAACTTATAGAATTAATATGGTCTGCTTTGGGTGCTTGACACTTCATTGGTCATTTTGTGTTTTAAGAATGATACTCAAGGTTAAGAATACGCTGTTAAATATTAATATTATTTAAATATAAATTGTTTTGTCTAGGTTTAACAACATTACCTACATTGTAGAAAGACGACTTTCATTATTGATCACGTCTTCCCTCAGGTAAAATGCACGTTTTCTTGCGTGGCTGGATATGAATCACGTTGTTTGCATTTACCCAAACTGATTTGCTGAAGTCGAAACGCAGACGTTAAAAAATCCCAACTCTGTTAGCGCGAGTCCCGCTCGCAGTGAAGCGGGAGCGACCAGCCGGCAGAGGATTCCGCTTGGTCTTAAAGCCTCCCTCGAACGTCTACGTTCACAAATCAAACACTTGTCAAAAAAGAATGATTCATTCTCAGTTTAGAGTTTGGTATTAGTATGGTCTAGGTGGTCATATGGCATATGCTTTAAATACGGGACAAACTGCGTTCCGTATAGCTTTCATACAGAACGCTTCTTTGATGCTTTAAATACGGGACGATTCCGTATTATACGGAACGGTTGGCAACCCTACTTCAGAGATACATTCATATAAAACACCTGCGCCGTTTTGATTTTGAAAAGTGCAGTGCTCATGTTTATTCAACAAAGTCAAACGGCACAGATAAATCAATGTATGGGAAACTGGTAATGTATATCGAAATATCGGAAATGTGTTTAAAAATCATATCACCGTTATTGAAAAAAATTATATCGCGATTCATATTGATATTGAATTATTGTCCAGCCCTACCAGCATCAAAGCTATTTTCATGGTGATCTCAGAATAAATTACACAAGGTATACACATATTCGAGTGGGACCGAGGTCCACCTGCTATAGTCTCACTGAATCCTGCAGGAAGCACAGCTGGACCTCATAAACACAGCTTTACTTGCTGATATATTCTTACGGCCTCACTGACTGCACAAGCTGTGGAGTGATTCTGGCTCTGTGATGTGCGCTACGGATCTGGTGTGTGTGTGGTTGTGACAGTCCATGCTCACCGCAGCACTGAAGTGTCCTCCGCTGTGCCGGTGCTGATGGGTCGGGTCGGAGCGGGCGCGGCCGCTGGTGCTCGTTCCAGAAGATCCTCCTGCAAACACACAGCGCTTAGAGTCAGTGACGGCAGAATAGGGCTGGATGATAAATCTAGAACCATAATTATCGCCATATCCTTTTAAAACAATATGAATAGTTCGATAAATATTTAATAAAAGTTATTGTTTACATGATATATGAGTGTGTGCCGTGTATATTTATTATGTATATATAAATACACACACATATAGTTTATATTTTGAAAATATTTACATGTATACACATTTATATTATATATAAATATATTTAATATACAAACAACATTTTTCTTAAATATACACATGCATGTGTGTGTATTTATATGTACATAATAAATATACACAGCGCACACTCATGTATCATGTAAACAATAACTTTTATTTTGGATGCGATTAATCGTTTGACAGCACTAGTTAAGATTTATTTTGTTAAGGAAAATTAACAGTCTGTTAGGAGCAAAAATCTGGCTTTAAACTTGAAATAAATAAAGATTTGACATTTATCGTGATAATTATCGATATCGACTGATATGAAAAAAATGATGTTGATAATTGTTTTGGGTGTATCGCCCAGCCCTATGTGAGAACTCATGAGGTCTCTGACCTGAGCTGGAGGAGGTGCTGGACGTGGTTCCGGACGACTGCGACTGCTCCAGCGCCGGACTCGTGGACACGCTGCTGCTGGTGTTGGTGCCTTCATCAGCGGTCTTCTTGAAGAAGCTGTGCTGCAGAGCGTAATACGGCTGGATGCGGGTCTTGGGGTCGTAGTCCAGCATCCGCAGGATCAGGTCTTTGAACTTCAGGTAGTCTGCGACGGCGTGACCTGACTCACCGGCTCTCCGCCCGCCGGGGCCACCCGCCTCCACGCCCAAAATACTGTGCAGCTTCCGGGAGCCTGCGGGTTTATACTGCGCACGGGAGAGACGAGAAGAGTCAGTGTCACTGCATCAAACAGAGACAGCCGGCAGATCAATGTAAAGAAAGAACCGCACCCTTTTGCCATCTTTGGTCTTCTTCACACACCACGTGCTGTCAGACATCTTCTCAAAGAACTTCCTGGCTTTAGACGCCTGCTCCAGAATATGATTGGGAGGGACACCCAACACCTCCACGATTTTATTCATCTGGTCGACCTGCCAACAAAACACCCATCACACACGGTAAGACGATGACTACAGCAACACACAAGGATGCGTTCATGCTGACAACATTTTCAATCACACAAAAATAGTTATGTTTTCATTGTTTTTGTATTACAATAATAAGGTTGATATAACACCAAAATTTGAGATACTAGTGAAAATACTGATTCTTAATTTCAGTACCACAGCAAACACTGCTATGTTTTACTAATTTAAAGTTCAAACATTATTGAGTGAACGCTCTTATAATAAAATGTGAAAAATTAACAAATTCCAAGCAATATCACAAATACGACTGAACAAAGATTCAAATGAAATAAACAGCGCTTTGTTTTTCAGGTAGGTCTGATGGTAGTATTCAGGTAAGAGATACTGCAGAAACGTAATTAAATGTGAAATAACGCCACGTAGTCTTCACTGTGTAAATTAAATATAGATTAATTCTTAGTAAAGTAAATAAAGTTATTCAGTCAGGAGCAGTGCTTTTTTTTCTATTGTGGTATTCTGTTTGATTAACATTAAATGACAGATTATTAGGCTGCTGTCACTTTAAGACTGAATGCATGCATCCAACTGTTCACATTCATTTAAGAGAAACAACTGTGTTTCCAAGGAAACTTGCCAAGACGGGACATTTTGACATAGTATATAATAGACAACCTGGAACAGTTTATCAGACCAGTTTATTTCTAAGGCAGCAACATCCTTCAGTATCACTGGCGTAATGTCTTGTTGATTTCATCTGACACAACTTTCACAAATATACACCTGTAACTAAGCATGAGCAGAGGGCAGGAGCACGGGTTCAGGTCAGGACTCACCTCGTTAGCGCCGCTGAACATAGGCTCTCCGGTGTGCATCTCCACCAGGATGCAGCCCAGAGACCACATGTCGATGGCCAGATCGTACGGCATTCCCAGCAGCACCTCGGGCGAGCGGTAGAACCGGCTCTGGATGTACTGGTATATCTGAGGACACACACAGCCGTGTTACTGAATGAGGCTTGAGTAGGGATGGGCCATGTGGGCTTAAAAATATATCACAATAATTTCTGGTATTTACTGCGATAACTATATCAATGACGATAATTCAGGGAATCCTGTTTCTTTAGAGAAAAGTATTATCTTTCCTATTTTTACCTAAAAGAAGGCGTTGTGGGCATTACGGAGTACACACGTAATGTAATGACTGTTTATTTCATACTGGAAGCCAGAGGGCTGCAGAAACTACACTGACGACGCTCCAGGAAATCCCTAATCTGGACAACGGTATACAGCCGTCACGGAATAAAACACAGATAGAGGAAACTTGAAGACAATAAAGTTACAATTGCACGAAATATAGCTATTGTTTATCTGTGTTCTTCAGCAATCTTGGGTATTTTTATAAGGACAAAGTCTATTTATAATGCAATGCTAATCGACAAAGCCTTTATCACTGTGCAGGGCTCGACATTAACGCTTGTCCGGGACAAGTGGATTTTGTGAAGGGGCAAGTGAAAGAGAATTTTACTTGCCCGACCGGACAAATATCTTGATTAAAATGTTAATAACAAACAATAACTAGGGCAGCACCAAAACTTTGGCGAGAATGATTCTGATTTTATTACTTTCCGTGTAAACGGTGACTAATAACGGATAATGTATTGACAGTATCAAGGTTGCGTCGGTTGCATTTTTTCAAACATTAAATATTTGAATGTCAAAAAAAGTAAAACATAAATCTAATAACAAATTTAGAGTAAATGCATTTATGGAACCTCTTATCTTCATTAAACAGTGAGTAAAAACATCTAAACGGCACTTTCGATGCAGCTTCTGTGTGTCCTCTGCAGTGGAAAGATGGAGTGTGTTGATACTGATTTCATTTGAATGGGAACAACCACAGTGCCTTATTCTAATTGAATGTATTGATAAAATGTAAGAATTTGACGTAGATGGTGACGTACATTTTATAAGGTTAGGAAAATATTGCCCTTCATTAAGGTAAAAAGTGTAACAGAAATCAATTTAAGGCAAATATCACAAATATGCTAATAAGTAATATCTAATAGAGCACTGATGAGACTATTGCTTCAGAATAAATTACATTTACGCCAAAAAAACCAAGCACATGTCAAGGCTTAATGTCGAGCCCTGCACTGTATATAATACTATCATTCTGTAATATGAAACCACGTCTGGTCACAAAAAGTTATTTCAAACACTTGACTTATGCTATGAAATTAATAGCATGTCAATAAATGATATCTTTGTTTGCAAACTGGCTCATACACATGCAAAACTGTGCTACTGTAGTACATTTATTCAAGGCTCAGAGTGATTTTTTTGTGCACTGTACAGCCCTGACCAAACCCGTTCCAGATTATAGAAGGAGCTCCTCGTTTAGGGACAAACTCCTCCTCAATTTCACATCTGCCTTCCGCGATGTCGCTCCACAGAACTAGGCTTTATCGCTATTATCGTGGGCAGACATTCTTATCGTGGCGAGAATTTTTCCCAGTATATCACAAACGATAAGATATCAGCCATCCCTAGGTTTGAGGTGCAGTCAAACAAACAGATTGGGAAACGACAAACTCTACAGAATAACAGAACAAACGACGGACAGACAGACAGTGACTGCGGTCTCACCCGCTGTCCCAGCTGACAGGAGCTCCCGAAGTCCACGATCTTGATGGCGGATCTCTTGGGGTTGCAGAGCAAGATGTTCTCGGGTTTGAGGTCACAGTGGATGATGCTCAGCTCAGGCGTGGCCAGGAAGAGCAGCGCGGTGCACAGCTGCTGAGCAAACTTGCGCGTCAGGTTCAGAGACACGCCGCGGAAATTGGTGTTCCTCAGCAGGTCGTACAGGTTATAGGACAACATCTCGAAGACCAGACACAAGTGGTTCCGGAACATGAAGTGGCGTTTCAGATGAACTGGAGGAGAAAGAAAGAAAGAATGACGTTAATGAGTGTAACGCTTTACTGATGACAGAGAAACTAATGTCTTGAAGGCTAGGGCTGCAAGGTTTAATCGAATCGGTTCTGTGATTAGTAGTAAATCTCCATCACCTGCTTTCAGATGGAGCAGTATTTACTACACAGAGCCGTACTTCACTGGCAAGCTACACAATAACGTGTTCATTATCACAGACGATTTAATTACGCGATTATTAAATCGAAGATATCGTTCTGCGATAATGACAGTTGTTTGCGTAGCTTGTCAGTGAACTACAGCTCTGTGTAGTAAATGCTGCTCCATCTGAAAGCAGGTGAAAATACCACATTTAATACCATGTTTTTACTCCAAACTCACTTCATAACGTCAGTCGAGTGTTTGAAATAAATCCTTCTGTGAGATGATGTGGCTTCTTACACAGAATAAAGCATATTTAACCTTAAACATATTTCATAGTATTCTAAGCGGTGATAAAGGCATTGCATTATTATATACTTTATTATTATGAAAATTATAATAAGAACTCGGATAAACCATATATTGTCGTAGTCGTGTGTTTATTAGTCAGGCTGAATCACTGAAAGCAGTTCAATCGTCTGTTTATTCAGCTAGTGCTGTAGGGATGTCCTGGGTTTCTTCTGCGGGGTGTATTTGGAGTTTCTCTGGCCTTCAGATGGAGATTTACTGCTGATCACAGAACCCTGCTTCACTGAAAGAGACGCATGACAATCACAGCTTCTGACTAATCGCGATTTCATTTCGATTTATCGTGCAGTTCTATCCTAATACAAAGAACGCGCTGTCCGAATCACATGGCGACCGTCTGTGTGGCTTTCTGACCTTCTGTTCATCTACAGCCATATATAAAAGATGACAAAAAACTCAATATTCCTGCCAATTGGCACTGCTTCTGTCTGGTAAATTTCTGTTTTTCCTCGTTTTTAAGTTCTTTTGGATGGAAGCATCTGCTGATTGATTCAATCATGTACACATAATGAACATATCAGCCACTGGAACTTATAAAACACGTGCTCTTGTACAATAAAGTTGGACTGATACCAGAAACAACACCAGTCTCTGGTTCCTCATGAATACTCAATCAATACCTAAATAAAACAACAAAACCCTTGACTCGGTCCTGTCCAGAACACAGTCTCATCCCTTCAAAACACAGAAACAGCGACACAGTCCTAAAACAATTCGTAGTAATGTAGAAAAAAATGACCATTCTGTGGCTACAATAATTCTGATCAACTGTTATTAATTGTATTATTAATTGCTTGCATGACTAACCCAGCCCTAACCAAACCCTAACCCAGGTTTTACCTGGTCGGATTGGTCAAATAGACAGAAGAAAAGTTTTGGCAAGTATTACAATGAAACAGCACAAGCAAATGACCAATGTATTTTTGGGTGAAGAACGGGTTCATTAGTGGCTGATCCACAGTCAAAGTCCTGCACGTATTCTGGGGCTCAAATGATTTTAGGCCATATATAAATGGCACCTCACCTCTGCCTTTGGAAGAGTTTCATCTGATTTAAAGTCAGCTTGTTCTCAGGTGCTATCAACATTTCCAGAACTGATATTCACATTATTTATAACAGATCTCTCATTGCCAGAGAAACTCTTCAATGGTTTTGTGCAGAAACATTCTATGGTTGGTCTGTGAGGAACAGCATCATGATATTGAACTTGTTCAGCACTTGTCCACAGACAGACAGGAGGGAAGCCATGATCATGACCCTGGAGACACACGCTAACACGGGACCCTGGCCTATATTTTTAAACATTTATAGTTGACCAGCACGCCGTCTGCCCTAAATAGAGCAATTCGTTCCTCTCCAAACACTGGTTCATACACATACAACAACATGACAAAGACATTTCAGAGAACACGTCCTCATGCTCGCTCGTATTACATACAAACACTAAGGCAAAATATTACGAAATATTAGAGAGCAGAAGAAATCGAGCTTTCTAAGAATTTAACTAATTTCCACCACTTTGGGAACATCCTGATCTTTTCTACGAACACAGGAGCTGTGATAGAGTCACACATTACCGATGTAGTACTTCATCTCTGTGTCGTGTTTGTTCATGAGCTCCAGCAGTCGGACTTCAATCTGAGCCTGATTCAGAAAGGCCTTTTTATTCTTGATGATCTTGATGGCGACCCACTCCTGCTCCACGCGGTCATACGCCTTCACCACCTGCCAGCAGAGAGACGAACACGAGCGTCAGACCAAACGAAAACACCGGACGATTCTTTACTAGCGGAGCTGAGAGACACTGACCTGACCGAACGAGCCTTTGCCTATTAAAGAATCGATCTCGTATCGGTCCATCCATTTCTCGCCATTTTTAACGATGTAGTCAAAGTTGTCGTCATCGTAACCGTCGTTGTAAATCTTCCTCTCCTTCTTGTTGCTGGAGTCCTCGCCCTGACCCTGTTGGTGACGCCGCTTCTTTTTTGCATAGTAAACCTGCAAACAAAGAGCAGAGTGTGAGAGGAGCGACCCGAGCGAGCTGTGATTCCACCACACACATCACCATCATATCAGACACACACAGGAATTAAAGGACTTCATGGTGACCCGTCAAAATAAAAGTCTGCTTCAAATAGAAGAAATTGAGAGAGAAATATTTGTGACCCTGGACCACAAAACCAGTTGTAAGGGTCAATTTTTTGAAACTGAGATTTATAAATAAGCTTTTCATTGATGTATGGTTTGTTAGGATAGAACAATATTTGGCTGAGATGCAACTATTAGAAAATCTGGAATCTGAGGGTGCAAAAAAAATCTAAATATTGAGAAAATCATCTTTAAAGTTGTTCAAATGAAGTTCTTAGCAATGCATATTACTAATCAAACATTAAGTTTTGATATATTTACGGTAGGAGATTTACTAAATATCTTCATGGAACATGATCTTTACTTAATATCCTAATGATTTTTGGCATAAAAGAGAAATGTATAATTGTGATCCATACAATGTATTGTTGGCTATTGCTACAAATATCCCCCAGCGACTTCACACTGCTTTTGTGCTGCAGGGACATATTTTACTATTGTACAGCAGAATGTACTTATAGTGTAATAATAATATAAACACTAATAACATTAAACAATTAGTAAACCTTTCAAGAATAATCACATTTTTACTAATTTTAACAGTACACATATCGTGCAGCACTTTCTTTTGCCAAAATAATGAAAGGAATTATTTAATTCAATTGATTAAAAGATGAATACAAATTTTTGTTTCACGCCTTCATCTGATTGCCAGAAAAGTTAAAATACACACACAGGGGTTAAAGCAAAAAAAAATCCTGAGAACTTTTTCCCGGGGGTTGGGGGGGTGGACACATACACGGGGTTATTTGGCAAAAAAAAAAAGAAAAAGACCATTATTTGAAAATGATTTTCCTTGAAACTAGTGACGTATCTGCCCTTGCCATTTGCAATTGACAGGCTCAGACTACAGATTATGGTGGATATCTGAAACAGCAATACCAGGAAAGCTTACTCACTACAATATGCTGCAAACACATGCAACATTTAGGATGCTTCTGATATCAAGTTTAGCTGGTTAGCTTTGCCCTTGACAGAGTACAGGATGACCTACAATCTAAAACATGACATTTCTGAAACTGTTTTGTTCAAAAGGAATAATGGTCAATTAAATACTAGGAAATGAATATAAAATAGGAAATACACAAGTTTACTACAGAAAACTACAGTTCAGTTCAATTAACAACAACAAAATAAAATGCTCCAAGAACTGGTAACTTAAACAGGGTTCGTACAGACACTGCAAAATAACATTCCCGGACTTTTCAAGCGCTACTCTTTTGGTTTTCAAGGACTAAAATCAGATCTCACTTATCAAAAAATATTGTTATTATCTTTCAAATTCTAATATATAAACTAATAAAACAAATGGTACAAATAAAGTGCAGCACACGTAAAGAATGCAATGACTGGCAACTTTAACATTTGAAAGGATACTGTGGCAAAGTTATCGCTTTCCTTATTCAAACTGATGTTTTTCCACGAGAATATGATTGACCTGAAGAATGAAAGCTATATCATACATTTGGATAATTATGAGCTTTCTCACGCTCGTAGACTCTAGGGCTGTGACAACACACTGAGCTCACGAGATGAGACGAAATACAGATACGTGCTTCACTAGGACGAGACAATGCTTTAATACTTTAAGAAATATTTGAATGACAAAATATTTGCCTTTTAATTACAAAAAGTAGAACAATGCAGTTATATTTTGAATTGTTTTAACAAATCTAGGGCTTAACTAACAATTATTTTGCTTATCAAGTAATCTACTGATTATTTTGACACGTATGTTTTAGTAATACAAATAGAACTAAGTGAAAAACTCTGGGCCGTTTACAAAGCTCTGTTAATTATATAGAAGATAGCTTTTCTATATAGATATGGCTCTAGAAGGAAATCTTTGACCATTGCGCCTCGCAGCTTTTTCAGAATGTGCCGCGCTCATCAGCTGCGACTCTGCAGCTGGATACTATTATGCGCATCTCATGTTTATAGGACCAAAAATGTCTGACTGGCTAGTAATGTTAGTTTGTTTGAGAGTGAAAGCTGTGCTCCTCTCATACATTAGTAGGCGAACTCAACTTGAACGTGATATCAACAAGTTTTTTTAAAATGTAGGAGGACCATCTTATTTTCCCGCAGCTAAACACCACACGCCGGAGAACTTTAAGCCCTGTACACAACACAGAATTTCTGTGGGGAAAAAGCATTTCATAGGGCCCTATTATTGAAACAATTGGATAAAATATTAAGATTTTAGATTTTTTTGTTTTGATTTGATTTTTGAAAAAATTATTTGAACCTTTAATCACATTCCAACTAAAATAAAATAGAGGAAAAAAATAGAATTTTGAAGGCAATAAAAAACAAATTTGGGGCAAAAAACCCGGTACCTATGTAACCGGTATGTACTAGAACCGAATCAGAACACAGATTTCGGTGCCATGCCTGAGCGATCGATTGAAATCCTCTGGTTCTCCGAAACAGACGTAAGAAACATCATCGCGGCACGGCACGTGAAAAACAATTCCCAGACTGAGAAGATGAATGGCCAATCCATCATTTTTGGGGGAATTTTTATTTATTTATTTTTTAATAAGTACCGATTCAGGCACCGGAACCGTTTTAAAAGTATCGATTTGGCACCAGTATCGAAAACCCCCCAAACGATACCCAACCCTAGCCACTGATGCAAGTGATGCATTTATTCATGCAACAAAGAAACAACATTTCTTTAAATCAGGTTCAGTATGAGTTCTACTAACTGCTGCACACAGTCACGTGAGTGACGCACCTCATTGATGTGTTTGTATGTTTTGATCAGTTCGATGGAGACTTTTCTTAAGGGCGCAGTCGCTGGATCCCGGAAACACTGAGGCATCCGCCTCTGAACCATCACCATATCAGCGGTTACCTGTAACACACACACACACACACACACACACACACACACACACACACAGAGGACAGCGTTCATGAGCGCGAGTGTGAGCTCGTGCAGACGCTTACTGTAACCGCACGTGAGTGTGTACCTGCGGGGCCTGCAGCGCAGCGGCTGATTGGTCAGCGGTGCTCTGCGGGTGACCATCACTGAACGGCGGGTGAGAATGGGGCGTCTGCGCATCCATCTGCACACCAGCCGAATGGAAAGAAAACGAGGGGGCCAGCCGAACAGAGAAGGGTTTGCATGCTGAGGTCTCTCCTCCTGTAACACACACACAGGTGACAACCTCCTCCAAACTAGGAACGTCTAATGCTTTGACTCAGACATGAATGACAGTCTCTTTTCTCGTCATTGTTTTACGGCAGCGAGCGCTCCAGTGAAACACAAGCCAGAAGCCCTGATCGGGTTACAGAAGATCCGAAAAAGCTTGGACTGAAATGGCAGATCATGCTTTTGTCACCAGACACGTGTTACAGTCCTTCAGAACGATGGAGGCAACGTTCAAACACACACACACACACACACACACACACATGCAGGTCTAATCAGAGCTGATCGAGCGTGTGTGTGTGTTTATGACTCAGCATCAGCATCACACACACACTGAACTCTGTCACATTGTAAACGCAGAAACAGCGAGCGCAGAAAACACGGTCTCTAGTTTTCAGAGGATCGCAATGACAGACCTGTAGCGTGAGCGAATGATTTCACACTACAGACGTCTAGACGACAGCTGAGGATTTCAGCAGCACCCGTCGAACAAATAAAGACTAGATGTGAGCGTTTGTGATGGATGTGATGTTTGGAAATGTGACGGTCTGCAGCGAGCGGGAATCTGCAGATCATTAAGTCGTCATTTATCAGCGTCTCTCACCAGCAAACACAATGCAGCACATTCACACTGGTAACCAGCGCTCTCAAGCCCAGCAACAGTGCCTCATTACCATAGCCTACCACCAGGAAGATGCCGCGCCATTGGCCGGACGGCTAAAGCGGCAGCCAATCAGGAAAGGGTATGCAAATAACCCACTTTTGTTGCTAGGGCAAAGCTCTGAGGCTCCGTCCAATAGGAAAACGGGTAAGAGGCATGAAATTGAATTGCACTTTGACACATTTCCCAGCACAGTTTAACACAGTATTTGCTGACAGAAAAGCTCTCCGGTGAGGAACCCGGAATCAGTTTGTGTGAGAGAGGGGCCCCGGCCCCGGAGACGGATTCGACCCCAGCCTGTATTTCTAAACATTTATAGTCGACCGGCACACCGTCTGTTCTAAATAGAGCGCTCGGTTCCTCTCTAGATGCTGCCGTGGCCTGACAGGAGCCTGAAGAGGAGCAGAACTCTGAATAAACACACTCTGCTGCAGCCTAGAATTAAGCTGCTGGTCTCGTCTGGCCAGAGGAGAACGGCACACTACGTCCCTGTTTAATACTGTAAAGCTGCTTTGACAACACAATCTGCATTGCAAGAAGCGCTATAGAAATAATGGTGACCTGACAAACACACACACACACACACTCTCTCACACACACACACACACACACACACACACTCACGTGAGCAAAACAGGGTTAGGATCGCTGCTCACCTGTATGCATCGTCTTCTGACAAATCTCATATCATTGTGACAGGGGAGTCCATCTGCAAACCACAGCCCACTGCAAGAACAGCACAGACGTGTGAGCGACCACATACTGTACCTGTGTGTGTGTGTGTGTGTGTGAGAGAGAGAGAGTGTGTGTGTGTGTGTGAGAGAGTGTGTGTGTGTGTGAGAGAGAGAGAGTGTGTGTGTGTGTGTGAGAGAGTGTGTGTGTGTGTGAGAGAGAGAGAGTGTGTGTGTGTGTGTGAGAGAGTGTGTGTGTGTGTGAGAGAGAGAGAGTGTGTGTGTGTGTGTGAGAGAGTGTGTGTGTGTGTGAGAGAGAGAGAGTGTGTGTGTGTGTGTGAGAGAGTGTGTGTGTGTGTGAGAGAGAGAGAGTGTGTGTGTGTGTGTGAGAGAGTGTGTGTGTGTGTGAGAGAGAGAGAGTGTGTGTGTGTGTGTGAGAGAGTGTGTGTGTGTGTGAGAGAGAGAGAGTGTGTGTGTGTGTGTGAGAGAGTGTGTGTGTGTGTGAGAGAGAGAGAGTGTGTGTGTGTGAGAGTGTGTGAGAGCGTGAGAGCGTGAGAGTGTGTGTGTGCGCGTGTGAGAGCAGAACAGCCCTGGAGTCTCAGCAGGGTCTTGCCGTTTTCTGAGATGGTTGAGTTGATCTTTAACTAGCACAACCATTGGTGAAGATCTGCGGTGAAATCAGTCCAGTTTAGAGCAGCTTATCAACACAGCGGGTGTTTACAGTACACAAGCACGCGTGAGATCGCAATAAAGCAAACAGAACACGACGAAGAGCCCCTCATCTTCATCAGCTCGGGCTCTAGTCGCCGAGACCACCGACTCCCGCAACTTCTTCACCGACGCTGCGAATCAGCTCCGCGCGCATGACGAGAATCAAAGCTGTCAAAACACCGTTAGCCTAGCCAGCTAACAGCCCCGGAGCCGCGCGGAGGCTGACAGCTCGAGATGCTGGGCGCGAAACCAACGGATCATCGGCGAATCGCTCGCGTCGAGCAGTGCAGCGCGGGCCTGTAAGCGGACCGAAGCCTGAGCGAGAAAACGGAAGAGCGCAGAACGCGTCGGACCGCAGAGAGCGAGGGACCCGGGGCTCCGGTGCGCGGCGGCGGGATCGCTGAGGGCAGCTAAGCGTTAGCCGCGGCGCTAGCCGTCATCACTCACCGTGTGGCGCGCCTCTTCCTGACGAGAGGAACGAGAATCCTGCGGAGGATCCGCGATCTTTCCCAGCCGGCCGCCTTCCTCAGGAATCCCTCTCCAGAGCAGGTCCAACGCGGAGAAGCGTCGCGGTGAACAGAACAGATCGGCGCGTCTCTCTCGGTGAGCGTCGCGCGCTCCGCAGCGCAGCAGTCCCGCGTGCGTGCGTGCGTCAGTCACTCATCCTGCGCGCGCGCCCCCGCCTGGACAAAATGGCGCGCGCTGCAAACCCGCGCACGGCACTCGCGCGCTAAACTCGCCCAGCGGCGCGGCTCAGCGTCGACGCGACGCGCGAATCGGCGATCGGTGTCTCGGTCGCAGTCGAGCTCCGTCAGGCGCGGCGTCAGTCGTCTGAAGGAAGGGAAAAGAGTCGGGAACAAAATGGAAGCCGAGCGAGAGCGTTTCCATGACGACTGTCCATCACACGGCCAAGTTCCCGGATGACCTCGTGACGCAGGAGCCGTTCTCGAGTTGCCATGGAAACTGCCACTCAGTTTGGCGTGTCGCAGGGCGGGGCTAGAGCGAGCGTACAGCTGTTATTATTATTATTATTCACCTATTATTGTTATGCACTTTTATCTTTGGTACCTTGTCATGTGTGTGTGTGAGAGTGTGTGTGTGTGTG